TTTTATACAGATAGGATGAACGAACCTTAACCGTTGGATTTTCTCCAATTACGATCTAGACAGCACATCTACAATTGCATCTAGCATGTCAAAACCAAACGACGTTTGCTCAAAATTCGAATCAAAGGCTCAGATGAGACCGTGGAATGTATGCTCCGTAGAGTCATGTGAGCCTCGCTAACTATAAGACACCATCTTCATTGCATATTAAATGCACACGTGGTACGAACCTTGGAAACAATCCACACATGTGTTTTTTATTGGGAACCAACATGTCTTTCGAATCATTAGAGCATGCCGCCCAAGGTGCTTCGACATCATCAAAGGGGCTCAACATCTTGCTCCAAAGGCCTCGCCTTGAACTGCGCAACCTCATCACATGCTTCAATTTCATTAAAGGGGCTCGACATCTTGCTCATAAAGCCTCACCTTGAACTGCAAAGCCTCATCACAGGCTTCAGTTTCATCAAAGAGGCTCGACATCTTGCTCCTAGGGCCTCTTTTTGAATCGCTCAGCCTCATCATAGTTTCATCAAAGGGGCTCGACATCTTACTCCAAAAGCCTCACCTTGATCTGCGCAGCCTTATCACAGGCTTCAATTTCATCAAAGGGGCTCGACATCTTGCTCATAAGGCCTCGCCTTGACTTGACCGTCAAAGTACGCGCAACTAACTCCACTCCTTCATGAGAAAGCCACGTGTGTCTAACGATTTATCCAAGTGTGTAGGAATCTAGTTTGCTTGGACGTGAAAGGCATTGGGACCTGTTGGCCACCTCATTGGTACATTTTTAGGGGTCAACAAGAAACATATTCAAACATATTTGAAACAAAAACTTCACTATATGTAACTTTAAATCATCTAAAAGAAATATATTCAAACATATTTGAAACAAAAATTTAACTATACATAACTTTAAATCATCTAAAAGATCAAGCTCTTAAAAAGAGGACATAATTATTTAAGCAATTTTTGTCTCCAATGGGTGGATTGGGTAATTCTCGTAGTCCACGACAGTGTTTACACAATAGGTACTAAGTAGTAGTGAATTGGGATGAGTGAGAGAGATGGTAAATGGTGAAGTTAGAAATTTGTTATTCTAGGATGTTCAGATACGATGAATGGATGTTCTTTTTTATTTTACTGCATTTTCTGCCTTTTAGTTTATGTCATTCATGAAGTATATGGCTATCATATTTGCAAAATTTATCATGGCTTGCTGAATCCTTACCTTATACTTTAAATACTTCATGTTTGTTCTAAATAATGACTGTCTGTGTTAAGATCGAATGGAAACATACGATCCTTAATTAGTTAATCGACTGTTTGGCTTTGCAGCCATAATTTTTTTTTTTTTTTGAATTTTGTATATATGAGACAGTGTTATAGTCAAGAATCTGAATGTTATACATAAATCTCTCGCGATAGTTCAAGATAATGAGAAGGACGTTTCATTTACAAATCAGGTTCTCATTGTTTTATCCACACGTAGGCACGAGTAAGGGGAAAACTCAGAAGCTGGGAAAATACACGATTTGCTCGTACTTTATGTATGATTCCCGACGATAAAGATTTGCATTTCGCTATTAGGAAAAAAGAAAAATCTTCATGAAGCTGTACATGATTGCATTGATAAATAAATCAAATAGGACTATTTACATAATAATTTGTGTGATGACATTTTCAAGTGGCGCTTGCGAGCAAAGAAGTTGATATATGATTCCTTTGTAGTTTGTAGTGTACACGTGAACATACTTGCTCATTAGGTATTCACTGCAATGATCACACGAAAACAAGATCATTGGGCTCTTGGGAGATATATAATGTACAAGTTTCATGATCCAATGATAATTTACAAATCTGTGGACATACATCGGGAGTTCGGGGCGGTTATGAGCTATTAAAAAGCCCTAAAGGCTAAAGAATTTACGTTGAAGGATTTAATAAGTTCATTCGAGGAAGGATATGTAAACGAGGCGGATATTGCATAATATGGGGAGAACTAATTCAGCTAAGTGTTTTTTATGGCTGCAGGCCCATGCATTCAAGGATTTACCTATTCAATGCAACTTTTAACTCTAGTCAATAGAAAATTCCTGAAAGATAAATACGAAGGCACGATAATTATTGCTACATGTCAATATGTGACCACTTAAATTTATTCTTTTGCATTCGGCATACTCAATTCCTATAATGATGAATCAATGAATTGATTCTCAAAAAAGTTGCAAAAAATAACAAAGGGATTTCTAGAATCTTGATTTAGTGTCTAAACATTAGTGATATTTATCTAGATGTACACAATTGTTATTGCATGTATAATATACAAGGCAATCTAAAAAATAAGTATTGGGTTATTGTCTTTGTTTAAGAGAGTGGCAGACGTATAATTTTGAAGAGTTCAATAAATATATATGATAGATAGAGTAAATCACAGGGGCATGAGAATATTTAACCAAGATTATGAGGGTCGAACATTAGGCACAATTACATTTGACAGAAATTTAGAACAATATGATATTATCAAACAATGCAGATTTGTTGAATTTACTGTTTAAGAAGGATAGAAAATTACTAATTATTGCAATAATCGAACAAACTTGCAGTAAGTTGTAGGTATTGTTTTATAATAGAAGTTCAGATTCACATATGTATACAAGCAAGCTAATCCCCGACAATAGAAGAAAAACTTTTCAAGACTCTCAATGTGGCAAAGAAAGCATGCGTGGAGCCCCTATATCAGTTTCTGCTTGACGTGACGTGACGTGAGGAGTTGGCCCAACTTATGATATGTTGCAAACTTGAAAAACACTGCCTGCATGTGTAGAAATTTTCAATTGGATAGTTTTTCATGCGAACATGTAGATTCACCCATGTTTGTTTCTCCATTTTTAATGATCTACCATCAACGAGCATCGACGACCCACCAACCACGAAAGCGATGACACTACATCTACCAACACATGCTTTATATTTATATTCTTTATTTTTTATAATTCTCTTGAATTTTCATTTTTGGTTGATCTAATTTTGTGGTGCTACGATACTTCCCTTGAGTCCTAACTATTCATTATGTAATATCGTATTATGATATTTCCAATTATATATGAGTTTTATTAGTACGTTAAATTTTAAATATTTTAGCATAGAATAAAGTAAAATTTTGACTCTTACCTTGTGAACGATATACATGATACTCAAAATTAAGCACTTGTTTGAATCTCATTCTAAAAAAACTAAGGATCTGTTTGGTTTGTATTTCAATTTTTCAGTTTTTTATTTTAAGGGTCTGTTTTAAGATTGCTAAAAACACGTTTAATATCATTTTGAAAAAAAAAAAAATTTCTCAAAACAGAAAACTAGATAACATGTTTAGTTTGAAATTTAAAAAATATATATTTTATAACATTTTATTCCATGAAATTTGATTATTCAATAAAAATAGAACAATTTTATATTAATATATTATCAAGTACTATATATATTTTAAAGTTGGTGAACTTTATAATATTTTTTCTCATTACAAGAGTAAAATAAATAATAAGAGCTTGTTTGGGAATGATTAAAATTCAATTAAAATTGAAAATATAACCGTTATTGGTCCCACTGTCTAATAAAAGTCAACTCCAACAGCTATATTTTCAATTTTAATTTGATTTTAATCCCTCCCAAACAAGCTTTAAATTGAGTGACGTGGACCGAGAATATTTTTATTAGTGTTCATTAATTTTTTTTTTTTAGAATTTTTATATAAATAATCATTAAGAGATTGAACTATATTTATTTTTCATTTTCTTGAAATTTTTATAATTTTATTTTTCAGAATTTTTATCTTTGATTTTTTATTTTTTATTTAGAATTTTAGAATTTATTGTTTTAAATTTTTATTTTTTTAAAAAAATTATCAATTTTGTTTTTTGAATTTATTTTTAATGAATTTTATTTTTTTAAAAGTTTTAAATGTTATTTGTTAGAATTTTTATTTATATTTTTAAAATAATAAAATTTATTTAATCGTTAGTTCTTCATATTTTGAGTGTTTTCAAAATTTTCAATAAAAACACTCAAAATATCAAAAATATAGTTTAAGTTTTATGTTATAAGTTTATTTTTGGTTTCGAAAATGTATTTTTAGAAATATCAAACCGAACATATTTTTTGTATTTTGCAAAATTAAAAATTGAAAACAACTTGAAACAAGAAATTATTTAACCATACATTCTTCAAATAAAATAATTTTTCACGTAAACTCAAAATTTTTTTATTTTTTAATCACATATTCTCCAAAAAATTATTATTATAAAATTTAGGCATTGTTTGATCCCCATTTTTTTTCAAAATACAATTTATTCTCTCTTCTTTTTAACAATTACACATTTTTCAATAAAATAATATTACACACAATACAATATTTTTTTTATTTTTAATCCCACATTCTCCATCGATCTATTATTTCAAAATGTATTCTATATGAATCGAATAGAACCGAACCGAACCAAATCGAACCGAAACCGAACGGTTCCAAAATTATATTTGGAACGACGGTTCCATTTACTAAATACCCGAAAATTTCTGGAACCGAAAAAAATCGAACCGAACCGACCCGCGCCCGCCCCTACCGCCGTCATGTCAAAAAACATACAACTTACTTTTTATATTTTTTACTTTTTTTTTAATCAAACAATTTCTGTACCAATTGAAAATTCACTTTATCTTTTGTAAGAAAGCTTTAAAACCTCATGCAGCTTCTACTCTTTAGAAAGGGAAGAAACGTGGTGCCTTTGTATTACCCCGAACCCCACGGCAACGCATACGTGTTAATGTAGTGTGTGTATATATAGACACGTGTACCATGAAGCAGCCTTTTGTCCGAATGTTCCATTTAACACCTCAGTCCTCAATCTACAGAGAAAATGTGGAGCCAGCTCTCGAAAAACAGACTGACCCAAGAAGGGGGAAAAACTTCAAGATTATAATAGGAAGATTTAGATTCCGGCCAAATGGTTGACGGTAATTTACCGGAATGGCTTCCTCCGGGCTTTGCCCAGAAGATAAAATACAGATATGGAAGAAAAATCAAGGTTTTCAAAATTCTCAAACTTGTTTAGTCATTAATTGTAGTAATTGATTGATGTTTTGTTTTAGCCGAAATTGTTAATTTTTAGATGCAAAAAAGGAAGTTGGTTTTATGTATACTTGGGAATTTAATCTTTTAATTGTTTTCTTGTGGGTGAGGGCTTAATGGACTCGGGTATAATAGCTACATTTGAAGGAAACGAGTGAAAAACAGAATCTTGGTCTTGATTCCGACATCCGTTTATGTAATTACTCAAAAGAAATGGAAAAAAATCATATGGACACGGGTTTTGAGAATTGTTATATGAATGTGAAAATTATTTAGGAGTTTTTGGTCTTGTGAAAATTATTTAGGAGTTTTTGGTCTTGAGTGTTAAGGGATATAATCCCACGTGGAATAAAGATGTAAACATAGATCAAGGTATAAAGGATTTGGCTACTCCTCTTAATAAGTTTGACCTTTTGAGATGGAACCCCAATTCTTAACATGGTATCAGAGTCCATTAAGCTCTAACAAGTAATTCGATCCGATTGAAACTTCAAAAGTGAGTGCACGAATTTCAAGATTGGTCTGCTCAAAACGAGCCACCATCTTGAAGGGGCATGTTAAGGGATATAATTCCATATCGAATAAAAATGTAAACATAGACTAACTTATAAAGGATTTGACTACTCCTCTTAATAAGATTGACCTTTTAAGATGGAATCCCAATTCTTAACATTGAGAAGTTTTCAACTTTGTGTTAGAATGTGTTGTATTCTGTATGCTTGCTATTGAATGCATAAAAATTTCTTTTTGTATATGTATGCTTGTGACTGTGAATGGACAGAAATTATGTGTTTCATATGTATATGTGTGTGTGTTTTTTTGTTTTATGGTCAGGGGCTGGAGGCCAGGAAGATTGTGTCGATACAAAAAGTTACTATTTATTCTGGTGTCGGGGGGTTAGATACGGAAATATAGATAATCTTGCAGTTTTGTTTGTTAGTTTACCTGGTACTACGCATAGGATCCTGATTTTAAAGCTTAGTCCATTCAAAGTTTTGAAATGATTTGATGCATCGGAGTAAACTGCCGAATAGTAGTGCACCACATCATCCTTTTCAGCTTGATTCCACAGCATCAGACACAACACGTTTTAGATTCAGACCTCTGCATCCACTAGAAATTTCATGAACGGTGGAGGGTGTGACTTTTGCTGCACATTGTATGAAATTTCATACAATATATTTATATCAGTATTTTATAGAACTTATTGGAACACAAAGCGTGTAGACATTACTGGTTTTTACCTCTTTTCCTTTTTTTCATACATATAATATATTTGCTCAAGGGAAAGTGACATTGGTTATGTCGTGTCTGACTCTGCAGTTTTACTACAACTCGGCAACAGGTACAAAGTATTACTCTAAGAGGGATGTCCTTCGTTGTGCTGGAAGGGAAAATGTCTGCCATGATACGCCACAAGCAACAAGTATCGAAGACAATAAGCTCTCTGACGACAAAACTGGTTCTGTAAGTCTGAATGCTAAACAATCTTATAATTGTGCTTCACTGTATCCTCTTTTGTCTTTAACGTGATTAGCCTGATGGTTTACAGATTGAACCTAAAACAACCGATTCTCCTGAATGGTTACCTCCTGGGTGGATAACGGAGGAAAGAACTCGAAAGAGTGGTTCGTTAATGGGGAAGACTTACATGGTATGTAATGCATAAAAGTAGTCATTTTTCCTTAATCTACCGTTAGGGTTTCTTGCCAGTTGCATCTTTGCTTGCAAGCTAGTTTTGTACTTTATAAGATGTTACAATAGCTGCATGCTGACTGATTACCCTTTCTAGAAGCGAAGAATAGAAAATCAAACTAGAAGATTGAGAGATCATCATCCTTTTTTTTTTCTGTAAATTAGGATTATTTTCCAAAGCTTGAATGCAAATCGTGATGATTACATTAGATTTAATTCAGGAATGCTCGCAAGTGTGCCGGTACAAAAACACAAGGGAAAATACTATAATTTTTGTCAGATCAATACTGCCTACTCAAGTATGAAAGTTATATGGACTGTTTATTGGATTGAAAACTTCATTCTATTTCCTTCAGTCGGCCAATAAGGTCGATGAATTCTTTCAAAGTCAACTATTTTCCTTCTACATACCTTTGTTGGTACTTTGTTAGAAGTCATTGATATAAAGTTGATATCTAGTGAAAGTGGTTGAACAAATTCTTTCTTCATTTGGAATTATTATCCTTAATTATCTCCTTTTGGGAGTTTCCAAAATATTAATACAGATCTCCAAATACACAAATATAGATCGAAGCAAATACACCAAAAAGAATATTAATGTCCATTTTTAGTTAGATTTTCACGATTGTCCAAGTTCTAATGATATTGTACTTTGTCACAATTGCAGGTATATATTGAGCCTTCAACAGGAAGGAGGTTCTATACGAAGCCTGCAGTGACTAAATATCTCAAAACCGTCAATCATACTGGAAACACAACCAAACAAATTAAAGTAAGCATTTATGTTTTTGGCAATGCTTTTTATCCGTATTTTCCTTGTTGGGTTAAACTTAAGTTGTTTCACGTTATGTTTGATCATTTACTCTTGAGGGAGTTTATTTGGATTTGAATGCATCTTATGATTTATACAATGCGTAATCTTCATCCTAAGGATTGATGATGTATTTCTATTAGCTGAATTATGGAACTTATGCAAGGTCAATGTTTATGTTTGAATACAAGACATGTTAGACTGAGAGTATTAAATTGATGCATTCAGTTTCTTAATGAGGGTAGTGTTAGAAGTATTTCCTAGAATAATCCTCTAAAATTATTAAAACAACTATGTAATAGTGGGTATATAAGAACAACATTATGGATATTATTAAGTAAAGAATGTATTTTAAATAGTAATATGATGGGAAATATGTGGTTAAAAAGTAAGGAAAAGTTATTGATGTGATGAGAAATATTATTTTATTTAAGAATGTGTTGTTGAAAATGAGTTTTGAAGGAATGTGTGTCAAACATGGCTATATTTCATGCATACTTGTTACATCATTATATCCCTAAGTACTTAATCACATCTTTTTGGGATTGAGGACCAGTGACACCGCACATGTATCTTGATTGTGTACAAGCACATAAAATGCACATAGGGCACGAAGCACGCAAAATGCACATAGGCACGTGACTGTATGCTTGCTAGCAAACACCAACGGAACACTCCGAAGGATATGGTGGCTTGAGAATACTAACGATGGAAATTTGGATGTAAGGTCATTTTCTAAAATTCTGGGGATTACTTTTTATAAGTGGTTACCAAATTGCTAAATTGCACCAAAAATGACCTGACAAAAACTCTACTAAAGAGGAACCATATAACATTTGAAGGGTTGAGAGATTGGTGATGATAGAAGATGCAGTTAATATGTTAAATTTAAGTTATTGTTGGGACAGTTTGGAAAAATAGATGATATAGAGAATTAATTTCAAGGTTTTTGCTTTTTGGTGCATAGCTCTTAGGTTTTTACAAAGTATTCTAGGATGTTTGGATACAATGAATGGATGTTCTTTTTTTATTCTGGTGCATTTTGTTCCTTTTAGTTTATGTCATCCATGAAGTAGATGGCTATCATATTTGCAAAATTTATCATGGCTCGCTGAATCCCTACATTATACTTTCAATACTTTACAATTGTTCTTAATAATGTTTCCAACAAAACTTTGAGCGTTATTTTTATCTTTGAATGAAAAACACTATATTTGCTCGTGTGTCCATGTTAAATCTTAAATCATCGTCCGCTTCGTTATGTGATTCCCATTTTTATATTTGAATATTCAAGTTCTCTAATGGTGCATCTTCTTTGTCTAGTCTTTATCTCAAGTTGACGTGACTCTACCAAAGTTGCCTTAAACCAGTAGACGACTTTTCCTTGGTTGGGAATTAAATGATGATATATATTTAGTTTGTTGAGTTGTTTACTATATGCATACTATTTTCCTTCTTTCTAAAATATGACCTGTATTTTGTAGGTAAAGAAAGCTGTGACAGAAACCGTTGACCCCGAAAATTGAGCCAACTGATGCCGAGCCCACTCTCGCTAGAATTTGTGGAAGGATAGAATATGTGGAATGATAGAAAACAAAATAATATTGTAGATTATAAGACCATTGACCTGTACAATTTTTGTACTAAGTGTATGATGTAAAATGGAAATACAATCGTTTGCAAGAAAATTGCATCCTATTTCTTTTTGATTCCATATTTGAGAGTTCAAGACATGAGACGATAATAATTCTAACCCAAAATTTTCCAACCCCTTCTAAGTTATACAGAAGGTATATTTATGCTGTCTTGGCTGACATGATATCCGTTGGATCAGAACCACGTAACATCATCTCCTAAGTTAAAGTATCACATCATTGTCTTTTCATACTAATACATTGATAAGGGGTCAGCTGTCCTGCATAATATGCTGACACCCTGACATCATTTATTACAAGTGTTACATCAATCATTTTTAAAAGATACTCAAATATCTGGTAAGAGACAACATTTGCTTATGAGCTTCGGATGAATTGAGACTCTTGGAATCGGTCATTTGAGTAGAGAGCTTCAGTTCCTTCTTCGTTTCTTTAAGCAGTGTCTCATCCCAGGTGTAAAGTTTCGCTAGGTGAGGCAGTATTTCGGTAATCTGCACAACCTCGCTGTATTTTGACCATTTGGGTCTCAGTTGACGTTCTGTCCGTGTAGCTACGTGGCACATTGACTTAGAGCCTTAGAGACGAGGCGTAATAATAGTCTCCCAAGTTTATGCATGTTTATTTATATAATACATGGACTTTTGAGGTAGATAAAGTTTCGTTAGTGGGTGGCTTTCATCATGTTGCAATCTCCAATGTGCCTGACCTGTGCAGACCTCCTAATAGTGCTATCTTGAATCCGCATTCTTGGGAACATCTCGCTTTCTAGAACAGTGATCAAAGAAGGGTCAACAGAACATAGGAATTCCGAAGTACTTTTGCAAGGCTGAAGCTTCGTCCGAACTGGACGAAGAGGTTGTGTGTGACCCTCTTGCCTTAATATTGATAATTATGAAGAGCTTAAATTTAGCACGTTTGAGGAATACGATGCTTCCTTAGTTATTGCATCCAAATGATTTGCTGTCGTGGTACGTTTTCAAAAAAAGACAGCTGAAGTGGTTCAACTTCCTACACACGCACCGTCGACCTTTTTAATGCTCAATGATGGCTGTCTCCCACGTGCTTTGCAAACTTCTGGCGCACGATGGCACGTGGAGCAGACACTCTAATCTTAACCGTAGAAGACGAAGAGACAAACGTGATACGTGGCGCATATTTAACCTTCTAATGAACGATCAGATGAGTCGGATCATCATCCAGAGGCTGAGATTAAAAGGCTCTGCCTATAAAAGGCAAACACTTGTGGAAAAATAATTTTGCTTTTCACGAATCTCAGTATTATCATTCTTCAAACTTCAAATTTTCTCTAAGTTTTTTGTTCTTTAAGAATCTTCAAGTTTCTTCTCTTTGAGCCCAAGTTCCTTTTTTTTCTTTCTTGCTTTTCTTGCAATTTTTCTGGTGTTTCGTCATTACCACCATTTAGCAAAACTCGTAAGTATTTTAAAATTATTTGACTTTAAAAACTATAATCCATGCCATTTCCTGCTTCTGCTGGGGGCAACATAGATTTGAGTGAAGTTGCTGCTGAGATGGGGTACAAATTACCAACACAGTCGACCTATTTAGGGCGGTTCAAGTGGGATGTAGCATTGCTACAATTGCGAAGCGTAGAAGAGATACTGGTATAGCCTGGGGACAACCAAAATCCCTTCTTCTGTAAATTCGTCCCAAATTCGTCCCACCTAGTAAATCTTAGGAAAAAATACAGGATCACTTATGACATAGAACTTCTTTCCCTATCTCCTGATGAGCGAGCCTGCTATCCTAGGCCAGGCTACATTGCCATCTGCGAGTTTCTTCTAAAGGTTGGGTTTCGCCTACCCATTAACCCCTTTTTTCGGGTTGTCCTTATACTGAATGGACTGGCCCCCACCCAGCTTGTCCCGACGCCTAGGCCCAGTTGGTAAGGACGTAATTCCTTTGGAAGGAGACCTCCCTGGGCGAGGACATGCCCCTTTACGTTTTCCAGTTAGTTTTTCAGCCCCACATTTTAGGTAAAGGAGATTCTACGAGATGGTATTTTTTGTGTCGGTGGGGGTCACAGTCTTCCTTTGTTTTGGGCATGTCTTCCTCCATTAAAGGATGGAAGGAGATGTGGTTCTGGGTCCAGGGGAGGTGGTAGGAGTGTGAGGAAGATACTGTTCCACACATCAAAGTCCCAAACTCATACTCTGAAGCCAGTGAGTGTCTTTTTGTCTTTTATGTTCTTCGACTGATTGGATCTGATACTTAACATTTCTTTGTTGTCTTGCAAGGTCGGTTGAATGCTTCGACCTCACTGAGAGTGACTGAGACACTCTTGCTGGTATATACCGTCGATCCCCCTCCTGGTGAGACTTCAACCGGTTGATTGTTTAAAGTAGATTTTTTGAAGAATTCTATCTGATAGCCAAGAGGGGTATAACAATTGTTCTTTTTACACTTAGCTTCCAATATACTTAGCATTTTTCTTCATTTGGTTAGGTCTGACCCTTTTGTGTTGCCTTTGTAGAAAATTTTGAGAATATGAGACATCCTACCTTGGATATGGCCACAATTCTTGCCGCCGCCTCCACCTCATCTGTTGGAGCAAAGCGGGCGAGGGAAAAAATAGAGAGGGCCATAAGGAGGCTGGCAATCAGGAGGAAAGCCGACCTCTCCAAGTGGATAAAGGGAAGAGGAAGGTCGTGGAGGAGCCCAAGAAAAAGCAGAGGTTCTCTACCACCAGACTAGGTGGCTCCAATGATATTCCTCCGCCTTATTCCAGTGCCCTACTTGGGGAGAAGCTGATGGCAGCTTCAATAGTTGCAGCCTCTGGGGGGGCAGAAAAGGCCATTTGTCGTGGAGCCCCTAGAGGCAGGAACTTGCTAGAAGCGAGAAGCTGGCTTCTGAAAGTCTGTCTCTACTTCCTCCGGAGGTACAAACTACCACAACCACTTTTCATAAGTAGTGGATGGAGAGGTGGCAAGATTTCGTAGAGATCAGCAACGTCGTTGAAGTCTTTTATACGATGGTGAGCCAAGTGTGGAGTGCCTTTGGTGTGGCCATAGAGGCTAAAGCCCTCTTTAAAAAACATTCAATCAAAAAATAGAGAATTGTCCAATAAAGCCTCTCAAGCGGCGGAGGCTGCCAGCAAAGCCGAGGTTGAGGCGGAGGCGTTGAAGAAAGAAAATGCGGAAGAGTCTGTGAAACTCGTTTCTGCCTTAGTAGAAATTGAGAATTTGAAAAGGATGTTCACATATCCCAAAGTGAGGTGGTCTCCTTAATGAAGCGAATGGAGACTTCGACACCCGTCAGAGGCTGGCAGCTGAGGCTTTGGAGAAGGCCAATAAATAAAACTCCTTGTTGAACGGGTAGGTGGCGGAGTTGAACTCCAAGGTAGTTGGTTTGACTGAAGAAGTGGAAACTGCCAGGCAGGAGGCTCAGTCTGCTAGTAGTGATGCTAAGAAACGGTTCTTCGCCAACTTTCAGTTGACAGAGGAATACCAAAGCTTTGCTAAGTATTGGCGAAGGTATGCCTATACTGATATGACAGAGTGGTTAGAGGTCAACATTCAAGGCATCGACACTTCGGAGTTGAGAGAAGAACTCGATGAGGAGCTTGAACTTAAGACTCCAGCAGAGGAGAGCCAAGTGATTGAACTTGAAGATGTTGTAGTTGAACAAGCAGTTGAAGAAGTAGCTCCCAATGCAATAGTTCCTTTTGTGGCGGCGCCACTCCCAACCCTACCCCACCCCACCCCACCCCACCTGTTTAGAGTTTAGGTCTTCTTTTTATGTATCTTTTTTCTTTTTTGTAAGTGGCTTCGGCCCACCAAATGTAAACACTTTTATTTAATGAAGTTGTTTTCTTAACTCCTTTGCGTTTTTCAGTTCTGCCTTTTTACTACTTCTACTAATTGTGTACTGACGTGTTTGTCACTATGGTTAGAACCTTTTAAACTTGAAGCAACAACCAACATCTGACTAAGAACTACATTAGACTTATGAAAACATCAAACTTATGCACAATAGAATCAAACTGAAGTTCTTCAACCACGTAAGACTTCTAATAACAAATTCATGCACCATGGACTTCATCAATTAAAATCAAACTTACAATTTTGTCAAGTGTTAAGAGGTCGTGCACCTTAACAAACTTCAGAACTTAAGCACATCAAACTTCAAAGGGTGAAATAAAACTAATAACTTATCAAAGTGTTAGGAGGTCGTGTACCTCAACAAATTTCAGAACTTAAGCACATCAAATTTCAAAGGATGAAATCAAACTTATAACTTGGTACCTCAACAAATTTCAAAACTTGAGCACATCAAACTTCAAACGATTAAATCAAACTTATAACTTATAAGTGTTAGGAAGTCATGTACCTCTACAAATTTCAGAACTTGAGCACCCCAAACTTCAAAGGTTGTCTCATGTTTAAAACTTTTTTTTTCATCTTGCATAAGAACAAGCAGTTTGCTTTTCTTTTCTTTCCCAAGCATAGGGTCGAGTGATTCGTCCATGCTAAGGTTTCTTCAGCAACTTTCGTTGCTAAAGGTTGTTACACTTCGTGAGTGCAAACGCGGTCCCTTTGGGATCAAGTTCTTCATCAAGGAGCTCATGCTCATCTACATAGTGATGATTCTCCTATGCAGAGGTTTCTCCCAGGCCCTTGCCTCTTAGGAGGTATTTTTCATGTATGAACATTTTAAGAAAAGCTGCTTTTATTGGATCATAAAACTGTACATACAAGATATTTACACTATTACTTATAGTACTTTCATTGATGTTCTATATTCCAATGGTGAGGATGTGCATTTCCATCCATGCTTTCAATTTTGTAGGTTCTTGACCGAACCTCTTCTTTAATGCGATAGGGGCCTTCCCAATTGGGTCCAAGGGTTCGACA